TAAAGTCAAGTGTACTTGACCCCATGTATTCTCTATGTATTTTCTCTGCGGGGCTCCGCACGGAAGAACCCTTCGCGTTGCTTTCGGGAATAAAAATGTATGGTGCTGAGTTGTAGGTAGAACTTCGATAAGTGATAATAAAACGAACTTTGTATTTTCTTAATGTTATGGGATTCTAAGGGTAAGTGGGTGTTATATCGAAACCATGAAAACAGCGGTACTGTAACACTGCTCGATCCGGAGCTGCTGAACCCTAAACCCCTAAACCCTAAACCCTTAAACCCTAAGCCCCCAAAAGAACCTTGACCTGAATGAAGCCACAGACCGAACCGGGAGGCTTACTTGCAGGTTTTCCGCCGCTTGCTGGAGGTGCGGAGCGGGGGGGGGGAGGACGCAGAGTTTGGGGCTTCAGGGTTTAGTTTAGGGTTTTGGATTTAGGGTTTAGGGTTCAGGGGTTTAGGATTTAGGGTTTACGGTTTGGGGTTTAGGGTTTCGGGTTAAAGTTTTTACTCCCAGTTGTTCGGGTTTCCGTTTAGGGCACGGCTCTTCAGGCACAGACTGGGGCCGGCATAACATCGAAGCTGTCTCAATAGGTTTGCTTCCATTCCATATGGTTCCTTTGATAAGTACACAATATGGCACAAAGCCCCATTCTATATCGAGAGATGCGCCATGCTCTCAGCTGCACATCGCTTACCTCGAAGTACACATCACTCACGCTCCTTCCCTGCAAGAAGCCGCCCTTCAACTGGTTTTCCTCCATCTTCAGCAAAAGGTGCATACTCTGCCATAGCCGGAGCCCTCAATATACCCCCTGCCCAAAACAGCCCTGAAACTCAAAAGAAACGGGAATCGCAAGCCTGAAAATCCCAACGAACTCTAAAGCCCCAACCTTCCCTAAACCCCCAAGCTCTAATTCATTGAGCCCTAAACCCCGAAACCCAAAGCTTAGATCCCTGAGGGCCCATAGTGTGCCCAACTAGTATATGCTTTGGCCCGCATCAAGTCCTCATATGGTGACTATTTGGGTAAGCTCAAAAACCCTCCAGACCAATATAGAACCCTAAACCCTTAACCCTTAGCGGAACGCTTAAGTCTACCCTCCGGTGGAGGAGCCACTGCCGCCGAAGTCGGCTGACGAGAAGCTACCTATTTGGGAGACCCTCGTCCTGGTGGAGTTTAAAGGTTTAGTGTTTAGCAGTTTAGGGTTTAGGGTTTAGGGGTTAGTGTTTAGGACTTAGAATGCAACATTTCTGGGGTTTTATGAGGGTTATGTTGTGTGTTGGGAAGGGTTTTTGTAAGGATCATGCTGGGTTTTATACAGTCTTATGAGGATTAGGTTGGGTTTTATAATCCTTTGTTTAGGACCAGTTTAGGAGTCGTTGGAATAAGTTTGTTGTGCATCCTGTGAAGTACCTGTGTGTGAGCGGGTTGGGTTAGAGATTGACCGATGTTACTGCTTCTGGATTGTTCCTAACTACGTACTCGTATACACATATGCGTGCTGTTCCGTGTGTAACTATCGATATGTGCTATCGGAGCTATCGTGCGCTGTGTGCTTTCGTACATGGGACGCTGTTGCGACCTCTTTTTCGTGTCACTGGTATATATTCAAGCGGCAGAATTCTGAGCTTGTGGTCCTATGGTCACCCCGAGTCCATGGCTCTTGCCTCTTGCACTGACATCAGCAGAATGCAATCCTCTCAAAGGTCGTTGCTCACAACAGGATCTTGCCGAACCCTCCTTAAACTTAACCTTAAAACCGTCAACCCTACAAACCCTTAAACCCTAAACCCTAAACCCTATGGAAGCCTTAAGCCCAATTAAGTAAGCCTGAAGCCCTAGAAGCCTGAATCTCTATTATACCCTATAAGTCCTAAACCCTATGAACCCTAAACCGTAAAGGCCCAATAGCCCCTATAAACCTTATAAGCCCACCAAAAATAGCCCTAAACCCTTCAACCCTCAACCCGAAACGCCAAGCCTCAGTCCAGATGAGCCGGCCCGCGGCTTCGAGCTTGCGGGGAAGTCATACTGCCCCTACCTTAACGTACTTTTTTGATAGGTTCTTCTTAGAAGCCCTGGCATGTACAGGGGGCCCTACCAAAAGAGTACGTTTTAGTGGGTTAAAGTAGTCGTAAAGGAGTTACTTCGTTGCTAATGCGTGCAAGTCCTGTGTTCAACCTGAAACTCGTACTTAGCACTAGAGTAAAGCCTCTGACCTTCTCAATTACGACAAGCGATATACAATCGCAGAGGCAGCACTATAGCTCCTCTACGCGACTGGACAAACACGTCTTACTAAATCCTGCACCATCATAACGGCCTACCTAAAGTGTGCAAGTTCCTTTTTGGGGGCTGCCATATAGGATCCGAATATAAAACTGGTTCAACCAAAAAACGGAACTACAATGGAGACTATAGGTAAACCTGAAACCCTAAACCCTTGAACCCTAGGAAGTACAGCCGCATTGCTCGAGCCACTGGCACAGTGAACGGCAAGGACTTTGCGTACGAGGCACGTCGTTCAAGTTTTAGGGTTTAGGGTTTGAGGGTTCTGCATTCGTGGTTTGTGCCAACTGAAGCATTCTAGATTCGAGGTCTGGTTCAGGACATACATGCCATTCGCTTCAGCCTTAAACAGCTTGTACAGGGCGCCGTCGCGGGCGGATGTGGTGCTTATACTCAGGCCTCAGGCTTTGACTTTCAGGATCTAGCTTCAGAGATGAGGGGCGAATAGTATTTGTTTAAAAACTTATCATGGCCAGTCTGGTGAAGCCTGAACCCCATCGACGAGAATGGTTCTTGGCAGAACGTTTTACCCAGATGCTGTGCTTTGAATCGCAAGTCCGCCTCCAACACTCGTTGAGGCTAAGCCTCAGTACCCCTCTTCGACCTTGAATCGAAATCCCCAGCTGTCGTTCCGCCATACTACATCCAGTCTCCTTCCCTGCGAGCATCAGCTCTGCATTGATTCTTATCATAATGTTAGGGTTTAGGGTTTAGGGTTTAGGGTTTACATCATTATCTTATCGTCCTCACTTTCACCGTCCGCATCCGTCCCCATTGCCGTCGCGACCCGCATTGCCACCCCTGCCCGTCCGCCACCTCCTCACCATCCCCCACGACAATACGAGCACGATAGCCATCAAAATCATAGTCACTTCCGGCGGCACCACTATCACCACCACCATCGACGCTACCAGCAGCACACCCACCGCCAGCGCCAGCACCACCAGCAGTAGCAGCGCCGCGGCAGCGGCAGCAACAGCTCTGGCACCACACTAGCACATCACCGAAGCTGGCGCTGGGCAACGGGCACTACCGGCAACGGCATCGGCAGCACTCTTTTCTTCGTGCTCATCATCATCATCATCATCATCATCATCATCATTGTCATCGTCACGTTCATGAACATTGTCAACATCTTCAATATCACCGGCTCCATCGCACTTATCAAAATTATTGTCACAACCATGACGAGTGTATCCTGCATTCCGCAGCTCCAAGGCCCCGTCCCACACCGCAGACTGCGAGCAAGCTACGATCAGATCTTACGTCCATTCCTGGATCTCGCCACCCGTCAAAGAGAACATGACACCATCAGGATCCCCTAAACCCTGAAACCTGAACCCTAATCTAGAGAATGCCCCAGATGCAGGCCAACGACATTTTCTTCGGCGAGACTGCAAAAGGCCTCCGTCAGAGGTCCTAAGATCAAGGACTTCACGTAGGGTTCAGGGTTTGGGAGCTTCGGGTTTAGGGCCAGGGTCGCTCAGTGCTTGGAAAGTCAGTTTGTGATTGAGGATGTGCGAACGTCGTTGACCGAAGATGTATAAGTTTTTTTATGCACAGGCATTTGTGAGCTCGCTATCATCCGTCATAAAACGAGGTCGTTCCCCAAACCCCGCCTCCAGAGCTGTAAAACCCTAAATCCGAAGGCCTTTTCGTCCCAAAGCGCACTTGCCCTGAGCCACAGAAACGATTCTGCACGCATTGTTGAGATTTATGCTTTGAGGGAAGAAGCAAGAGGAGGTTCAAAGAAGTGTTGCTGTCGGTAGATTGGATTCTGGGGGGGTTCGTTGCTACATTGCGGTGTGCATGCATGAAATGTGCTTGCAACTGTGGCAAGCTGAAGCATAGTAGGAGAGGTTAGTGATTGCATTTGGAGGTTAGTGGCTACGGATGTTAGCAGGGGTTGGGGCTTAGGTGGTTAGGGCTTAACAGTTCAGGGTTTAGGGGTTAACGTTTCCGAACGTGAATACAAACATACCACAACTGCGTGAGGAAGCCACTGGACGCTCAGTTGCGATTGACTGAGCACACGACGACGACGACGCGGGCTGACACGGGTACGGCCTTGTGGATTTGGAGTAGTTCAACTTTATTCTCAAATCATATACCTTTACAGACTTTGAGGTTTCAAAGACTACCAGCACCGTGTATGAAGGACTCAAGCAGGAATATAACGGCCTTCATAATTGGAATAGGGTTTGGGGTATAGTATGCTATGACTATAACAAGGACCCCCCCCCTCAGAAAAAAAAAAAACAACCTACTCTAATTATCAAGGCCCCTACACCCTAAACCCTTATAGTAGCCCTTGTAGAACCCTTTATGGAACCCTTTAAAGGAACCCCCCAAAACCCTATTCTAATTATTAAGGCCCCTACATTATGCTTGGCCTCCAGTTGATCGTCAGAGGCCAGGTTGTTTGGGTGTACCCTAAACCTTAAACCCTAATCCCTAAACCCTAACCCTAATAAACCCTAAACCCTAAACCCTAAACCCTAACCCTAATAAACCCTAAACCCTAAACCCTAAACCAAAACCCTAACCCTAATAAACCCTAAACCCTAAACCCTGAACCCTGAACCGGAACCATCAGCTGCCCGAGTTAGTAGATTATCAGTAGGCTTATAAGGATGCCATAGTTATGGCTAGTTGAGAACCAGGTACTGAATCCTCTGATCCTCTAAGTAGACTCAGTAGATTTTTCAAGCATTCCGTAGCAGAAGGTAGGTCTGCGCTGTGATAGGAGCTGTTTTAGTGCTTCTGGCGCGCAGTTTGTCCCTGGCGCATCGCCTGCTGCATCGCATGTTCGGTGTCTATTTCCACTGGCACGCCTGAGAACATCGAGCAACATACTGAACTACAATTACTTTGTGGCTGCTGTTGCGCTTATTGTTGCTACTCATCGGGATTCTGTGGCCGGTAGCTGACGTCTGGCATCTCTGATAGAGTACCTATAGCAAAAAGCGTAGTTCCTTTTTGGGGATACCTTATAAGAACCTTAATATATAATTGGTTAAACCAAATAAAAGAACTACAATGGAGACTATAGGTAGGGTGCTGAGGCCGGTACAATGTTTCGCTCTCCATCACTGTGACAAAGGTCACAGAACTAGCCTGGCCATACTGTTCTAATTATGACAAGAACAAGAGCAGCCGCCACCACCACCAGCACCACGGCCACCACCACAACCACCAACAACAACCACCACCACGACAACCAACACCGCGACAGCCACCGCCACCACAACAACCACCACCAGCACCACTAGCACCAGCACCAGTGGCACAGGTACCACGCAAGAACCACCAGCAGCACCAGCACCGCGCTAGCAGCACCAGCAACAGCACCAGCACTGCCACAACCACCACCACCACCACCACCACTACCAACAACAACAACAGCAGCAGCTACAGCAGCAACAACAACAACAGCAACCACAACAACAACAACAACAACAACAGCAACAACATGAACGACGTTACCAGCAAGAGCAAAAACACAATTAGCCAGAGACTCACC